CAGGTTCAATTACGAATGCTGTCCACACCCTGTTGGACAGAAATACCCCCTTATTAGCTGAAGCTGTTGACACTAGCTTTACCAAAGTAATGGTATCTTAATGGTATTTTTGTTTAAAAATCAACTCAGTTATTAAGGAATAGCAAAAGAAGGCATCAATACAAAAGCCAGGTACGCTGCACCTAGTAAAAACCTCTTCTTACTTGCTAGATGTGTCACCAGCCAGAGTTTGTCCAGCAAAGAAAAGAAAGAATGTGCCAAAGAAAAAAAAATAATGCGAACTACAGCACAGGCTTGCTCTCTCATTTTTGCAATGCTACACTACAATTTTGCAGACTGTACACAACCAAGGGAAAAAATGATATCCCCATCACATCACATTTGCAGGCTTTTGGACAGTAATGCCTAAATCATGAGGATCTTCCTGGAATGGTACAGAGACTGTTCTGGACACTGAGCCATCCTTCTCATCCTCTGTGGCAACATTCCTTTCACATCACAATAGCAGCCGTTCTAGGTTGGTTTGTGAATTTATGCATAGCAACCTGATCTTCTCTACAGCTAATGCAACAAAATCCTGGAAGATTCTCCTCTATCACAAAGTATCACAAGAAATCCTCATAGTCCATAACCTATTGTTCCAAGGGTCCAAGAGTAACTCATAAAATGCATGAAAAAAGTATACCTCGTACCCCAATCTGAACACTGTGAGGAAGAAGGATGTGAAGAAACAAAAGTAAATGTGACCTTTGGCCACTAATGCTTTTGACTAAAAATGGTAATGATTGTTCCATCTAGTATCTTATTTAGTTCTAAAAACAAGCAACAAAGAAAAGTCACTGTTTCAATAACATTTTGGGCACAAAAGGAGAAATATAATTCATTTCAGGAGTATTCCATGAAGCGGAATTTTTTAAGGTTGCTTCTCGACCACTTGAATGTAGAACTTCAGTCTGACTCATTTGGGGCCTGACACTCCCTTTTTCGCTGTGAGACGTCGACTTACCTCCTGACGTAAAGCTCATATATTTCTGGTTGTTAACTGTTTCTTTGGAATCATAAAATTTGAGAACATCTAGAACAGCCTGTGGGTTCTTCTTCTGCTCCAGTTTTGTTATGTTGGAGGTCTGTAGTAGCCTGGCCCACTGCTCTGGAATGCCCTGTAGGTGTCAAGTGGAATAAAATATTAACCAGCCACAGCCTCACAGATCTTTACCAAGATCCCATGCTACCTGTAAGATTACTTTCAGAAATTTTGATTGACCTTACAATTAAAATCAGTAGCTTATACATTAGATGCAATCATTCTCTTCTCTATAAAATATAGAGCTAAAACCAGGATCCAACTTTAAAAAGAAAAGAAAGTTATGACTGTGATAGGAAAAAAAGTGCATGAAACTCATCTTTAAATCAACTCTGCTCTTCCATGGAATAATGATTTAAGGCTTAGCTTGTTTTCCTGGTGATTCAGTGCAGACATAACAAGACTATTCTACATTTGTGGACAACAAAGTGTATTTTAGGAGCTTTACACTGGATTTTTAATGCTTAATAACGCAAACACATTTTGCTGAAATGATCATTGCCGTCTGATTAAAAGGTAAACCCCACCCTGATACAATTAATTTTCAGCATACCAGGAAACGCTGCGGAGTTAAAGATCAGCATTTAAATTCTCAAAATTGTAACACTGAGTTGTACCACTGCTGCTAAGGATGCCTCTTTTTTGAGCTCCTGTAGCTCTGTAGGTTCTCTACTGTAAATATGCAGAAAGCAGGGACTCAGAAAACAGGCCGAGTGTGCCAAAGCCTTGCATGAATTCTCAGACATGTTACAAGTGAAGGTGGCATTTGAAAATTGATCCAATCGCTGAAAGCCGCAGCTCTGCATTGAAAATATATTGATGAAAATATGCTTTAAATATCCAGTATAATTTCCTAAATTTGAAAGCCTGTAATTTTCCCCATTTACTGCACAGCCAACATCTACCAGCGAATTGTAGGGCTTACTGAATGAAAAACTACACCTGAAGTACATTTAAACTTAGCCTCGGTGCCACCCCAATCTAGGTAAACACTTAATATAGCTTCTTCCTAAGAAGTTCTCCACAAAACAATGTGTGACATGGGCCTCCAAAGTTTAGGATTAATGAAAAAAAAGTGGGATAAGCCAAGCAACAAATCTACTGCACACACATCAACCTGCTGCTGCAGTGCTATGACATCTCAAAGAAGCATTTTGATGCAAGATTCTTTTGGGCCTGTGACGCACCTCTGGGAGCTTCCCTGTGCACATCTGTGAGCCATAGAGATCTGGCTGTAATGGACGTAAATAAAGAAAGAAAAGAAAGTTAAAACAGAATGTGGGACAACTTAGAAGGTGGTAGGAGGAAACCAATGGGCCAAAATGGGGAAGTCCCATCTAAAATGGGAGTTACGAGGTAGATACCAAATAGATCAGGCGGTGGACAGGCTACAGGAAGGCAGGCGTAGGAAAACAGAAAAATCACAACTGTTCCAAAGTTTGGAAGCATCATTCCCCCTCCTCTCTTTTTTAAACCAGCTTTTCTCTCCCTCATAAAAATATATAACTGGGTATTAATGGCAAGAGACTGGAAAAATTACCAGCGATTTCTTTTTTTAGTTAAAAAAAAAAAAGATCTGGGCTTTTGCTGTTTGTCTAGTTTTGAAAGCCAGGTTAGCATTTTTGAATGGCTCTACGCAAGTTTATTCCACTGGTTCTCCAGCCCCAAGATCACAACTGGCCAGTGCACGAGTCAACGAAGTGCAGTGGAGAAAGCAGCTGGTCAAACTCAGGTTCCACACTGGGAGGTTGAGTATTGTCATAATGCAAATAATCTATGCGTGTCAGACTGAAAATCAGGACAATTCTAAAGAAATGTTTGATTAGATTAATAATGTGCAACTTCTTTGGATCTTATAGCCACAACTTTCTCCCACTTGTTCATGTCATAATCTTGACACTTTAAAAGTTTGGTGGGTGACCACATTTTATTCTAGATTGGGGATCAGGAAACTGTTTCAAAAATGCATGCCTTACAAAACGCACTCCCCAAAGCCCTGCAAACCACACTTCTTCCTCCATTCAGAAAATGCAACTGTTTCTTCAAAATAAATCAACATAAAGCTCTAGCAGCATGCTCCCGCCCAACAGTTTCCAACCAATTTTATTTTGAGCTTTAAAAGCCCTACTTCTTAGCAAATGTGGTTGCTCCAAGCACAGTGAAATGGAGATATAACATACGTTCATGAGCAACAACACAGCTTGGCGCTCAAGCCTGAAAGCCGAAACTCAGGAGCCCATGCAACTTTGATTTGAGATGCAACTAACAGCAATCAGGTAATGCAGCTGGGGGGTGACTGTTAGGTGTCAGAAAATGGCCCAATGCATTGCACATAACCACAGACACTACTGGCATGACAACTGTAATAATTCGAAACAAAAAAACCCCATATATTTGCACATTTATTGGACATTCCCATGGCACTTCCAAACTTTTGAAAGAGGCAGACAGTGTGATCACTAGACAGTGGGAATATTTTTACATGATATGGCTTTTTTTTAGGACATACTTACCACACGACTACCCGGCTGATACATGGGTTGCATCCAGGTTGGGACAAATCAAACATGCCTAATGTAATGCGTAATGTAATGCTTGCATCTGGGATTAGTTGGGAGCTGATAGCTAGTTCTGAATGGTGCAGAAATCCCCTTGCTTTGACTGACATTTTACTCCGCTAAGGACTGCGGCGCTAAGTCCTGTGCTGGCAAGCTGCACAGGGGAATTCACTTGTCCCTTTGGTTTCTTTTGAATTGGTTAGAGCCTTCTCAAACTGCAGCGCTGCACTTCCATGCTTTAGGAACAAGTATTATTGTAGAAATACTGTGTAATTGTAAACCAGCAGCCACCTAATGTCCACTGTTTTGAAAGGGAAAAAGATATTAAAAATAAATTGTGCTACAGCAATAAAGCTGGACATACTTAGCCATGTACAACCACTTTGTTCTATAAAAGGCCAGGACCCGTGCTGGTGGCATCGGACACATCTATCTCCGATGCTAGAGACTGTTTTGACACACTGGATGAGAATAATAACATTCAAACTGACCCAAACCGTGATCTCTGAAGTACTGATAGAGACTGCTTGTGCTTAGAACTGAAGTGTGTTAAGCTCGACGTCCCTCCTTTTTGTTCCAGCTGGCAGGGACGTGAAACTAACTGGGATCCTCACCACCAGTCTACAAGAGAACACGATTGTGACCCATCGCGCTTACATAGAGCCAGAAGGAAAAAGTCTGAAGCACAGGGTAGAAATAAAGGCACAAGGCTGAAAGGAAGAACAAATATAGGATAAGAGCAGCTGAACATTCAGTAGGGAAGGGAACGGAAGGAAGGGAAGGAAGAAAAGATAAGACAGGAAGAAGGGATGCAAACACAAAAGGGAGAAAACAAAAGCAGAAAGTAACAGAATATATGATACCAAGATAAGGAGAATGGCATTAAGGTTAAGCTGAACAATAATGTGGCTACAGGGAGAGACAGAGAGGGAAAAAAAGAGGAAAACCGGGATAGATAGCAGGGAAAACACACTTTCAAAAGCTTTATGCTAAGTTTCTGATCAAAAATGATCACATCTGGGCTTCTTAAATGAGCATTTAATCAAGCCCTAGGGTTTGGCACAGAATAGATTTTGACGTAAGATTTTTGTAAGTGACATCTATTTCAAAAAGGCTAATTAACTAGCCCACATATTTTAAATGTAGCTGTATTTCCTAATTACTAAAGATAATTCAATTTCACTATTCCTTTGAAGACATGCTGGCATTAAACGTGTCTTTTTTTCTTCTATTGTTACTGTATTCTACTGCTACTGTAGCACACAGAAAGTTTCCAGCTTTCTGAAATGTTTTTGGGAAACAAAAGTAGCAATCAAAGTAAAAAAATGATGAAGAAATCGCATTTAGGGCTCGAATTCTGAAAACTTAACCACCCTTTCTCCAGGCAAATGATTTGTCCCATCCTGTTTGGTGTATGCAGCCAGCCAGCACTAGCACACTTTACAATTTGACGCACGGTGATAACACAGTCTGACCACTTAGCTCACAGGGTGCTACTGACGGTACGGAGAGTTGCTAATGCTTCCTCTCACCTCCACAGTTCAACCAAATGTAAGCTTACTGCCAGCTTAACTTTAAGGATTAATGGTTTCGGCACCTAACTAGTAGTCTGAGAGAAAATGCTTTGAAGCCTCCTGCAGACTTCAAGGAGCTTCTATCAGACTTATTTTTCCCAACACATCATACATTTTGTTATGATATAAGTAGAAAAAGCTGACTGCTATTTTATTAACCCAAAGGCTAGAAACGTGTCTGATCACCTAGTCTACGAACATATTTTGAAGGATACTAAATTAAAATGAACGGACTTCCACAATGCTGCCACTTTCTGGGCGTCTGCAAGGGCTGTCTGCAGAGCAGCTGGACTTTGCACTTTGGGGCCGATTGTCTACAGCAAGGCATACACTATGCACATGTGTGGGGGGGGATTTATGCTTTTCCAAAGACACTGAACAACCAACCCCTGCAGCAGCTTGTGAGACTGATAAAAGCATACACCTACGTTCTTCCTAGTTTTCGTTTTCCACAGACACTCTGCTGACAATCCTTGGAGAAAAAAAAAGCAGCCTGAATCAGAAGTAAAACACTCCAAATCCTAAGCCCAACAAATAAAAGTCTCTTTCTTCACAGCCTGGCTGCTGTCATCTGACGTTTCTGGCAACAGAAGGTTATTTTACCATCAAGAAACTAGAAGCTCTGGTAAGCACGCAATACGGTGGTTACTTACTGTGAATTCTCCAGTGACGGCATCAAATCCCACATGAATGGTATGTTCAAAGTCTGAAGGAAGAGAGATCTCAGGACGTTCTTTCTCTTTCTTCTTGTTGGCTAGAGGCAAAACATTAATACACGCTTATTTTCTGCACAGCTTTTCATTCAAAAATTTTCACAATCAAGTGAGCTCAAAATAGTATTTTAAAAGTGGAAAAGAAATCAATTAACGTCCATCTTACTTCACAAACAGACCCAAGCTAATACAACACCAGCCTAACTGTCAACCCCTGTTTGGGAAGGCCTGGAAGGTGTTATTTCATTTTGGTTTTCTTCCAATCAGTGTCACAGCTGCCTAAGTAAGCTGTTCATGAAGTAGCCTTCTTCAGCTATCTCTAACCAGTATGATTTCTATTGTCAGTTCTTTTTTCATCAGGTTTTCATATCTAGCAACTAACTCCTGTTGGACTTCGCCCTGTGGTTCCTGCAGAAGTGCCCAGGACACACATGTGCATGCCTGCTTGGATGTGTGTCTCTTCTCCGAGATGCTCTGAACCTGTTGTCAAACTCGGCTGAATCAGAGGAGAGGTTTTTTACGATAACCAGGTTCCTACAAGTTCTGTGAAAACAGGCAGCTCAGGAGAAGACAAAGATCCTATTCCTGCCTCCTCTCCGAGTAAAAGGCTGAAGCAGCAGCTCTGTATTAGAAACCACGGAATCTGCACAGCAACAAGATCCCATAAATGCCACTGGAAAAGCTTCATTTTGAACTCTCAATTAGCTAAGACATATAACCATAAAGCTCAGGCTTTATCAGTCTCCAGGAATTCCTTGTTTTTAAATCACTCCACCAGTATTCAGAGCGTGGATTATCTTATTGAAGGAGACAGACTTGGAATTCAGTCAATCTGTACGTTTCTCATCTCCCTCCTATTTTAACACCTTTTGAAAGTAACATCCCTTGTTGTCATCCATCTCCTGTGCTTTTTACTATTGACAAAGCTCACTTCAGCCCAGTTTTATTGACCCTGATAAAGAATGAGCGGAATAAAGGCTGAGAGAAGCTGCCTTCACTCTGATGCATCAAGAATCCATGTTCAACAGAGATTTCTCTGAAAAATGGTGACCATAATGCCAGGTCTGGATGACTCCCAAACACCCAGATAAACATAGCGTAAACCCACGTTCAAACATCTATCCTGCTGGCAGGTATCTGAAATATTTGGCTTCCCTGGAGAACCAGTGTGCTCCAAGACCAACTACCATGTGCCTGAATAATAGAGCACAGAGCTATCTGTAGGGTCTTCTCTAGTGCCAACGGTATATATGTAACAGCCAAGAGGGGAACTGCCATTCTACCAAATACACCTGTCATTTCAGTGGAAAAATTACACGCTAATGATTGGAACAGAACAAATATTACAGTGCCCGCTTGCAGTATGCGAGAGTTATTAACACAGACTCAGGAAATAAGACACACATAAAGCGCTCATGTAGAATACAAAAAAAGTCACACCATCTCACGTCTTTAAAGAAAGCACCTGGCACCCCAGGATCCCACCTCTTCTCTGCTGCCCTTCTTACCAGTTTAATGCGGGTTTGGTTTACATATCCGCATCGTGGTCCTGAGCAGGCTTGCTCTATAGATCTGATGTGACATGACTGCACGCTAACAGTTGTGAGAAACCCAGAGATACACGACAGGTTTATACTGTGCCTATCACAATGGGACTCGATATCAGGATCTCTAATGGGACTGTATGTCAGGGTACACAGGATCAGCGTATCCCCATTTATTAACGGTGATATGAACACACGTGCCATAGTTACACACGAGCAGGAGAGAAAGGAGCAGTTGTTCAGGTCCTGTCCTTGCCTTCCACATTCCCTCCGTGCAGCGCCAGTGACAGCCATACTATGCACATCAAAACCAGCTGGATGAAGACAATTTTGTGTGTGTTTTATTGCAAAAGCAAGCGCCCCTTCTGCCAATATCAACCAGGATGGAGCTCAGCGAGATCTATTTTCTGGCACATCAGCCTTCATAATGTAACGCACTACTACACTCATGGACATTAACATTTTTAAATTAAAAATTAACATTTTAAAAATTAACATTTTCCTTTGGTTTTTTAGTATTACGTTTGCCAGCTTCATCGGTTTACCTAGGGGTCTCATCCAAAGGCTGAACTCGCTATCTATCAGCACCTCTCCCAGCCTGGATCTCTCTCTGCTCACGGACAGCAGCTCCACGAGGCCTCTCTTTGCATATCTTTCTTATTCTACCTTACAGCCTCCTTTATTTGGAAAATGTTCTGCTCGTCATAATTATAGTCTACAGAGTATTTTTGACATTTCTAATCCTTTCTCTGCATTTATCCTCATTAAATATTTAACTGTCCCCTTTTGTCTGTACTGCACATCCCTAAACAATGTTAATTGATAAATTATTTTCATTTAGCATTCAATAAAGATGGCAGCAATATATCAAATACAAATGCAAAGGGTTTTCCCCTTCCTTTATTTCTAAGACTATGTTGTTTAATTTTCATGACAGACATTGCCAGCTACAAGATGTCATCTCCATTCAGCACATATAACTTTTTATTGTAAATAACAAAACTGGCTTCTCCTACCTCATCATTTGCAAGCAAATGCAGTGAAAATTAGATTTAAAGGATCATCAAATTCAGTTCAAAGCAACAGTCAAATCCAGAAGCGAAATAAGGCATTACAGAAAACACTCCATCAAAAGCAGCACTTGTCCATTCCAGGCCTCTCCTGCCGGGGGCCAAGCATTCCAGCTCATTCCCCAAGATTTGGCTCATCTGCTTCACAGACCTCTGCCTACCAGACTGTGGATGTAACACCTATGGTCCAAACGCTGATAAACTACAAATTAAATATGGAATTACACAGCTCCTTGCAACACCCTCATCCCTCCCCAGTCTAAAAACTTTGACGCTTCTGTCTGTGCCCTGCAACCCAAATCACTTCTGTTTTACATAAGCTGGCAAAATGATACGAAAAGGCATGACTTCTTTGAAGCAATGACTGACTGGATTCAAGGGTTTTATACTGGACATTCCTATTCGATTTTTGTATAAATGCCCCTCACAATACACTCCTGCCACACAGCAGTTAGCCACGAGGGCCACCCACACCACCTCAGCAACTATGACAGATTAAAAGAGAACAAGGAAAGAGTTTTCTGTCCTTCACAGTCTGCAGCATCACCATCATTATTATGTTAAAAGAGCAGTTTTCGGCAGAAAAGCGCGACTCAGCTAAGTGGCAGCTTTTCTGCAGAAAGGGAGGAAGAGTTTGACCTCACGCTTACGCCCTCCTGTTCGCTCGCCTCTTCATCTCATTCTGTTCTTTCCTCCATCCCCTCTCCCTTCCACTGTCACTCACACTGTCCTCCCACCCTCCTTCCTGCTCTGCTCCTCCTCTCCTACCCCAGCAGCCCTGTCCTTTTCTTTCTCCTCCATTAATCTTAACCCCATGGGGTTTTTCTCCTTCCCTCTTTTCGTGTTTTTCTGTACAGAAGGCAACCAGATGACTAAAGGTCAGACTCTGCTCCCATCTGCAGCTAAGTCTAAAGCAGCTTCGAGGGAAGTGATATTATTCACCCAGGAATCTTAACACGGGTGCACCTCTTCAGCTGAAAGGGGCATCTGAGCTGTGGTGGGCCTGCTCCCCTCTCACTTCTTTAGGTTGAATGCTCTACAGCACCTTCATCGAGCCACCAGTTCACACACAGTATTAATTTATTTTGTAGCACAGCAATTACAGGTGGTTTAATGAAAGAAGACAAGGCTATATCAAACAACTGGAAGAATGCAAGTCATTTCTTTCTGCTCTCAACTCTCCTGAGGTAACAGCACTCTGCTGAAAGGAAACACTAATGCTATGAACTCCACCGTGGCTCCCATCACCATCATTACCTCCAAGAAAGGAAAGCCAATTTCACAGCTTCAGCACAGGCTATGGGGGACCAGGTTCAGCTCCTTGTTCCACACAGATTGCCCACGTGGCACTGGAAATGTTTTTCAGTTTACTGCCTTGGCCTCCTGCCCCCAGGGAATGGGGTACCTTACCCCAGAGACAGAGGCGAGAGGAGATATACCAAGGAACGCAAGGAGGTCAGGCATTATGGGAAGGAGCAGGACACTAATGCCTAAGTGACTTGTTTCAACCACAGAAGCACAGAGAGGCCCCAAAGAGTCATCAGCGGCTTGCCAAAACAAGGTTTTAAACACAGAATTGCTCAAACCCGAACTGAAAAACCTACACTCCAACAGGGGAGTGACTGCGAAAGGTTCCTGGTCCCCGAGCACAGCAGTCCCAGCATACGCCGTTGCCTTGGAGAGAACGCACTGTAGCATATTCATCTTCACATCCCTCCTGTCTGGTAAGCAAATGAAAGACAACAAAGTTCCTGCAGGTTCAGGCAGAAACACCCTGTCATGGTGTTTTCTTCACGTTCTGTTTACTAGTACCAGCGGTGGACAGTGGACTATTAATATAAATTTGTGATGCTGCAAAGCACTGCAGTAGATGAGAGCAGCCATATTAATCACCTTCTGTTTTATAAGCAAGACTCTCAAAAATGTGTCAGTGAGTCTGTGAAGCACGCACAGGCCAGCTGATACCCTGACCCACAAACCAACCCTGAGATTAAACCACCTCAAGGGGCTTGGCCAGCCAAGCTAAACTGCCTCCATTTATTATTTCACCCAACAAAATTAAGCTATAAATCTTAGCTTACTTTCCCTCACAGTCATATTTAAAATCAGGATACTTGTATGTTTCCTAAGACAGCTCTGACTGGTAGTTAATTACATCTATTTTTAATGTCACTGATCATTTCCAGGAGGGGTTGTTTCTGGATCTCCCCGTTCCTGCACGCATTTTGCACAGCACCTCTTGCTTAAGAAATGTTCCCTTGGAGAAGGATAGTACCATCCTGCTGGCAGTCAGGGGAAGAAGCGACCCAAGTCCTTCCAGGAATTAAACAAGCCAGAAGAAATTTTAATTTTGGCCTTTAAAATAAAGTCAATTGAAAATTAATTTTGTTCCCAGAAAGGGGTATTTTGAGAAGCGCTCTGCAGAGGGAAGCGGCCAGGCCAGCCTGAGGAACGGGCCCATCCAGTCACAGGCTTCACATGAGAGGAGCTGTCAGGACTGCCCCCGACCGAGGGGAGGAACGGGGCCGAAGTTGTGCCTCTGCTGCCTGTGAGGAGCGCTGAATGCCAGACTACCTCCAACTGCTCCACGCGACCTGTGGAAGAGACTCGTGAAGGGGGCAGCCGAGCAGCGCAGGTGAGCTGGAGCTCCAAGGGAACGACCGCAGTTCCGTAGTTCTGAGCTCTCCTTGGAGGAGCAGCGATGCACGTCGAAGGTGGAATCCCTCTCGAAATCCAGCTGGATTTCGTGCTGCTGATCACAACCCTTTGAGCCCAGCATTACAGTCAGTTTTCAGTCCACCTCACTGTCCACTTACCTGGACTGTACTTCACCAGTTTGTCTGTGAGGATGCTATGGGAGGCTGTGTCGAACACGTTACTAAAGTAGAAATAACACCCACTGCTCTATTCCATACCA